AATGTCTGGAAATTCTAATACTACCCCCACTGCGACTCCAACTGTTACCATGCAGGAACTTATCGATGCTTTGGGAGTATTGACTACTGCAATGGAAAATAACAATGCTGCTAGATCTAACAAACTTTCTGTTCATATACCTGAGTATAGGGGTGAGCCTAGGGAAAATGTGATTGCTTGGTTATTACAGCTTACTACTATCTTTCTGGCACAAGGAGTTAATAATAAAACTCAACGGATTTTCTATGCCTCTACTGCATTGCAAGGAGCTGCCCTATACTGGTTTACAAATACTGTTGTTGCTAATGGAAATACTATACCATATGCTGACTGGAATACATTTCAAACTGCCATCAAGGCCACCTTCTTACTACCCAACCATCAACAAATTTTGCAACAACAATTGCGAAATTTGCGACAAACTGGGTCTGTCTTGAAATACACTGCACAATTTCAGGATATAGTGGGACAAATCATGGGGATGGGTCCTCTTGATCAAGCAACTTACTATATCGAAGGCCTCAAGCCTGCAACAAAAATAGAGATCGTATATCAAGCTCCTGCAACTTTGACTGATGCCATTGCGCATGCCATTAGATTTAATAATGCCATGTTTGGGATGGCAAGGCCGGGACACACACAAAATTTTTCACACAAACCATACCAGCAACAAACACAGTGAAGCTACCCGACACCAATGGAATTGGACCATGCCGAATCATCGCAATGCCATAAACACAAAGGGAATTGGAAAAAGCAACAACCACAACAAATGAAAGAAAACTGCCACTACTGTGGAAAGCCTGGGCATTGGAAAAGGAAATGTCCTAACAAAGGAAAAGAAAAGGTTAATAATATTGAAGGAACTAATACACACACATCTACATAACCGCCACCGGACTACAACAACAACTTGAAATTGACAAACACTGAGGGTAACAAGGAACAACTACTCCGTGTTAATGGGAAAATTAATGGAAAGCCTGCTTGGATTCTACTCAACTCTGGAGCTTCCAGGAACTTCTTGGATAAGGGATTTGTCAAATGCCACCGACTCACTACCCAGAAGGATAAACTTGTCACTATCGAACTTGCGGATGGGTGCAAACAGGAAACAAACAAGATTGTCGCCATCAAGGATCTGAGGATGGGAACCTATCACACAACAGGATTGTCTGCTCAAGTTATTAAACTGCAACATTACGATGCCATTTTGGGAAAGCCTTGGTTGTACCATGCCAATCCATCCATTGATTGGAGAAGCAACAAGCTTACCTTTCAATATGGACCAAAAACCATCGTTGTAAAAGCCGACTCCACTGTTTCACAACATCTGGGCTGTAACTCTATCTTCATTTCACATCAACAACTTGCCAGGGTACATGACACTGCTGCATTGTTTGCTATCTGTGTTGTCAATACTGAAGGAAGTAACCAACCGTCGCACCTACCTGCCATCTAAAAATTATTGAAGGAATTTGCCAATATCTTTTACACCAACTTGCCAAAAGAACTGCCACCCAAAAGAAAAATTGACCATGCTATTGAGCTTGTGTCTGGAACTGAACTACTGTCTTGCCCTATCTACCGCCTGTTCTATGAGGAAACCAATGAACTGAAGCGACAACTTGAGGAACTTTTGCAAAAGAGACACATCCGTCCAAGTGTTTCACCATTTGACACACTTGTACTTTTTGTACACAAAAAGGATGGAACATTGTGACTTTGTGTGGACTACCGTGCACTCAACAAAATCATCATCAAAAATAAATATCCTTTACCAAGGATTGAGGAGTTAATGGATCGTCTTGTTGGGGCTCGCTACTTCACCAAAATTGATCTTTACTCTGGATACCATCAAATAAGGATCAAGGAGGAGGATGTGCACAAAACAGCTTTCAGGACACGCTATGGGCATTATGAGTTTTTGGTTATGCCATTTGGACTCACCAATGCTCCTGCCACTTTCATGACATTAATGAATGACATCTTTAGAGAATTTTTGGATCAATTTGTGATTGTATACTTGGACGACATTCTCATTTACAGCAAAACAAAGGAGGAACATCACCAACATGTCCGCCGTGTGCTGAATATTTTGAGGGAAAACCATCTGTATGCCAAACTGTCAAAGTGTGAATTGTTTCAGGAACATGTGGAATATCTGGGACACTACATCTCTGGGGAAGGGATATCTGTCGACCAATGAAAAATAAATGCTATCAAGGAATGGCCAACACCAAAGGATGTATCTGAACTCCGCTCATTCTTGGGGCTCGCCAGTTATTATAGGAAATTTGTCAAAGGTTTCTTTGCCACTGCTTCACCTCTCACACAACTATTGCACAAGGAATCTGCTTACCATTGGAATGCTGCCCAACAAGCTGCGTTTGATAATTTGAAACAACTCTTGATCTCTGCACCAATTCTGATCTTGCCGGATCCCACCAAACCTTTTACCGTCACCACGGATGCCTCTGATTTTGCCATCGGAGCTGTGCTCTCACAGGATCATGGAAAAGGGGAACAACCAATCGCCTATGAGTCCAGGAAACTATCACCGGCTGAGCAAAACTATCCTGTACATGAAAAGAAATTGCTGGCAATTGTGCATGCCATCAAACTTTGGAGGACTTACCTGGAGGGACAAAAATTCTGGGTGATTACTGACCATGCTTCACTGGAGTATATCAAATCACAAACAACATTGTCGAGGAGGCAAGCACGCTGGCTGGAGGTTTTACAATCTAGTAATTTTGAGGTTAAATATCGTCTGGGCAAAACAAATGTCGTCGCTGACGCACTTTCAAGGATTCCGTCTATTAACAACATTTCCACCATCGACACCTCTGCCGACTTGGAGGATTTGGAGAGATTATACACTGAGGATAAATACTTCGCACCAATCTTGGATGTTCTCAAGGATCCTGGATCACATGACGAAAAACAACGAATCAGGGCAAAGCATTACGAATTGAGGAACAACTGGATCTATCTCAAGGAAGGACAATGACTAGCAATACCAAAGGACAAAAGGCTTCGTACACAACTCTTGCAGGAACACCACGACATCAAAATCGCTGGGCACCTGGGAGTTGACAAAACTTATGAATCATTGAGGAGGCACTACTATTGGCCAAAAATGGGCAAGGATGTTTATAAATTTGTGACAAGCTGTAAGTCTTGTCAAAGGAATAAAGGATCTAATCAACAACTGGCTGGACTTCTATAACCATTGGGGACATTTCAAAGGAGATGGAAACAAATTACTATAGATTTCATCATACAATTACCAACAATGTGTCAAGGGTTTGATGCAATTGTGGTTTTTGTGAATCGACTATTCAAAAGGGCCGTCTTCTGTCCAACACATACCTCTGTCACCATGCTAGAAGTTGCAAAAATATTCTTTAACAACATCTTTCACCACTATGGGTTGCCAAAAATAATTGTATTGGATAGGGATACTAAATTTACCAATCATTTTTGGAGATCTCTCTTTGAACAATTGGGGACAAAACTTGTGATGTCAATTGCCTTCCACCCACAAACTGATGGACAAACTAAAAGGATGAACTGAACCTTGGAGAAAATGCTATGAGCCTATACCACTTATAAACAGGATCAATAGGATGTTTACTTGCCTGCTGCTGAGTTTGCATACAATAATTCGAAGTTACCATCTACTGGACATATACTATTCGAGCTTGACTGTGGACAACACTCCATCATACCAGTATCTCTTGCAACCAAAGTTACCAATACACCTGTTGCGAATGATCTTGCTCAACACTGGGACAACATGATTCAAATGGCAAAGGATGCTTTAATAACTGCACAGGATCAACAAAGCCTATATGCCAACAAATATCATTGCCATGTCACCTATAACATTGGGGATAAAGTTCTTTTGTTAACACAAAATATCAACAACCCTGTAAATAAAAATTGATCTACAAGAAAACTTACACCAAGATTTCTGGGACCATTTAACATCAATGCTGTTATTTCACCAACTGCATATAAACTGGACCTGCCTGTAACAATGAGGATATACCCTGTCTTTCATGTTTCAATACTAAAGCCATACAAGGAATCACCAAATGAGTTCTCACATGCTGCACCACCATCACCTGTCACCATACCTGGATCTGATGAACCGGAATATGAAGTTGAATCTATCTTGGACAAGCGAATCACTCGAGGAAAAACACAGTATTTGGTAAAATGGATGGGATATCCATTACACAATACTACCTGGGAACCTGAAGAAAACTTGGAAAATTCTCAACAATTGATCAAGGAATTTAAATCGATAAGAACATCGAATCTTAAGGAGAGAAGAATGTAACAATTTGGGTCCTTAACTTGCCATATGACTTTGGATACATGCCATGATCATCAGGGGTGCTGATCACCCAAACCATATGGGTTTCGCAAGGATAAATAGTATTATTAATAGTGTTTATCTTAATATTACCATATGTGATTAACAAGGGATTATGGATATACTAATTTGGCACATAAGGGGTTTTATTTATTATTTTTTTTCCATTTATTTTATTATGTTTATATTTACTATATAGTTATGCATATGTCTTCCGGAAGGTTAAGCCTTATATAGATATATGTATAATATCTTATGTATTTTT